CAATATTGCAAATCTATTGCCTTGAAAGCTGCCTGTCGTCTCCAAGCCAGTGAATCTTCTAAAATTTACAGGATATAACTGAATGACAACCAATGATGCATTTTAAATAAATATTTGAATGTATCGTACTAATTTTGATCTAGGTTTTACTTGCGGTCCAATCGAATCATGATCTTATCCATGTATTGTTTGTTCATTACTTTGCATTTTAATTTTAGTGGTATTTGGTACTAATGTTTACCATTTACTGTCCTTTAAATCACGAAGGTGGTTCGAAACATCATACAAGGTCATGAAACGCTATATTTATCTTATATGGAGGGTTTATTTGAGCTCCTCATTGTTTTGCACATGTATTTTTTTGAAATGAGTATTAGATAATACTATAGATGTTTTAGCCAGGTAAAAAGGTAAAAGCGAATCCTAGAAATAATTAAAGTAATAAACGTGCCTCGAAAATTTCTGTCCCTAAATTTAAATTGATATCTACTTTGGTGTGCCAAATGAGAACTAATTTTGAGACAATGTTCGTGCAATATCAGTGAATTTGAGTCAAATTTGATTGATTCTTTCTAATATCTTTCTTTCCACATTTATCCTTCTGCATAGTTGAAAATCCTGCAATGTCACTGAAATTTACTTGAATCTGGATATTATTATTGACGTTGTGTAGCATGAAATTGAGACATTCATACTCGTTCTGCGCTGACTGAACGCACTGAAGATGTATACATAAAAAATAGAAACAGATGATTTGTATTCATTTGTATGCCTGAGAATTTACTTAACTGATGAGACGATGCTGGAAAAATTGATTCCACGGAGAAATATGACAGTCTACAAATATGGCTGATAGTATAATTTTCGTTATTGATTTTATTAGGTTAGTTTTGACCAATGTGTTTGAAAACTTGCCTAAAAACTGTTCGATGTATTGTGCTATTTGGCATCTCGAACACCAGCCTGTCGCGGACGGCGGTGAATTTGATACCGAGCTTCAGTCGAAGAGAAGTAGAGCTGTGAGTGGGATGTGCGGTGAAGAAGCTTGTGTCCCGGTGATGGTCAATGCCTCGCATGTCAAATTTACCCAGTTCGTAGTTGAAAAGTAATCTCAATCGTCGTTACAATTTTCATTAGTAATTTATATTATGGAAATTTACTGTAATCATCGTGATTTAGAAGACACTTGATAATAATTAGGTACTAAGAGATTTTCAATCGAAAGATGACTGGCGGTGAAAGTGGATTCAAATCCAGCGAATTTGAATGAGAGATGCGAATTGAATTTCTACTTATTTTGAATCCATGCAAAGAATCCTAAATAAATATTTCGCAAGGTCGACTCAATTCCTTGTTCATAGAAACTTAACTCATTAGAGGTGCCACAAAACTTGCCTTGGGACTCTGGAGTTGGTGCTGGTTCGATTATTCGCTGACGTTTCACCTTCCTCGTCAAGTTTTTAAGCAATAGGTATTCCGATTTTTGTCCAGCTAACAAATTAAGATTTCAAAGTTAACTGAAACTTCAATAGACTCTTATTGTTGATTTACTTTTCGTACTTGATGTCTGATAGACGGTTTTCTATACTACTTTCATCACACTGTGCACATCTTTCTCGAAAACGAAGCTTGCATGAACTTGCGGCGTACTTAGAAGTTATGTGATGAAAAACCGACCGGTTTGTTTCAACTTGTTACATTTCTTTTCAACTAAAGTAAATTAAATTGGATGAATCAATGCGTCATTAATTCCGAAATGAGTATATTGTTATATTTATGTACCATAATTCCATACCACCTGAGCTGAGGTTTCGTTGAAAACAAACATTTATGCTGTGTGAACGAACCGACGCCGACGGCGTTTTTTTAATAAAGGCGGAAGAAAAATAAATGAAAATGGGGTGTAACTATGGAATAATTTAAAATTTTTATATATGATATAATTTAATTTGATTTCATAAATATTTAGACATAAATTTCATAAATATCATTTTGTCAACTGTTTCATTCAGCCAACTGTTTCATTCAGCCAACTGTTTCATTCAGCCAACTGTTTCATTCAGCCAACTGTTTCATTCAGCCAGCTGTTTCATTCAGCCAACTGTTTCATTCAGCCAACTGTTTCATTCAGCCTACTGTTTCATTCAGCCTACTGTCCCATTCAGCCAACTGTTTCATTCAGCCTACTGTCCCATTCAGCCAACTGTTTCATTCAGCCAACTGTTTCATTCAGCCTACCATACTGTTTCATTCAGCCTACCGTACTGTTTCATTCAGCCAACTGTTTCATTCAGCCAAGCATTTCACTCAGCCAAGTATTTTACTCAGCCAAGCGGAGAATTTTTTTTAGAAGTTTAACCAATGATATTGCTTACAATTTGCAATGACACCCACACAATGAACCAAGCATGGAATTGTATTCAATTTTATTTTACTCGCGTTTACTTGTAAGGCTGGAATTGAAATTGGAGGTTTGAAGACTTCTGATCAAACCTTTAAGATAGTTGGTCATAAATATATATTAAGAATGCAACAGTGTGCCCACCACCCAGAAAACTAAATTATATGCATATCATTTTAAATATAATGATTTCTTAAGATGACATTGATGCTAAAATTTATTCTCAACATCTTCAGACACTGAGATATTATGTTTTTGTTTGCAGCTGTGGCTGTCAATAATATGTTTTTGCCCTCCTAAGAACAGCCACAGCTGCTTTCAAAAACAAACCCACTATCACTTCAATCCACTCCTTACATATTCTCCCATGTGCCATGCCATTACTCTCCCACCTCTCATTTCATCATCTTTATCATTTCCCCTTTCACATGCACCCCTCACATTCCACCATCAGGCACTCTACTGTTTGCTTCACGCTTCCATTACACATTAAATAATCATGATTGTAAAATATAAACACTTATCCATCCACAGTCAGTGCCCCTGTACTTTCGCAAATAATTTCAGCAGCTATTAAATCATCCTACATGCTCTTTCTTTTCCATCACTTACATTACATAAAACCTGGATATTATTATAGAACACTTGGTATCCATGTGGCAGACTTGATAGTAACAGGTCTGTAGGTATATATATTTGGGATGGATGCTCAAGCCAGTTTATTATTCTGCACAATAGTTTACAGTACCGGTACCATCAACTGGGGTGACTTTGGCCACCACTACAACAGAAACAAATGACAGCAAAACAAAATAATAAACGTTGGCCAAAGTCACCCTGGTGGTCAATATTTAGTTTATAGTTACAGTTAGAGGAAAAATCATAGTTCTCATAAAATCTCATAATCAATATGCTTATAGATTACAATTTGGGTTTTATTAATGGTGAAAATGATAAAATTCCTGAAAATTTGGTGTTCATTTCGAGAAATTGGAAAGTACATAATATTTGACGATAATATTTGCAACTGTGTAATGAAGTACCACAAACAATCAGAATATAGAAGAATATAGATTAATAGGTTTTTGTTGCTTGCATTACTTATGGTCCAGGTTTCATAATGTGAATAATTTAGTTTTGAATACATAAACTTGCTCTTATGCTATCATTGCTGATGTTGCATTTGATGAAGCCTCTGTTGAACAGATGACTAAATGACCTAAGAGGAAAAATATGATTTATAATGCTAAAACATCTTCATATTCTTGTTAATATGTTAAGTGTGGCTTGACCCACTGGTGGGTTGTACCTCGGGTATGAAATACGCCCTGAATACAACATAGCTGCACTTAACGTGTTAATTCATAGAAACATTCGTAAATTGATCTAATTATGGAATAGTATACCGTAAAATGGAGTAACTTAGACCACTTTTTTTTATAAATGATGCCATTTTTTTACTAGCTAAATTAAACTTGAATTGAAACATGCAAAATACAGGTCTATACTCTAGCTTCTTATGTCAAATAGTTTTTGAGTTGTGGGGGTTTTTGTTAAAAAAACGAAAAGTGGTCTAAGTTACCCCGCCAGTCTAAGTTACCCCATTTTACGGTAACTAGTTATTGTTTTTGCAGATTACAAGAGATTAATCTTGGTATCTAGGTTCAAAGTTGTGAATATATTGGAATGCATTCCAATATATTATTTTGGAATGGTATATATATTAGAATGATTCATTCTGATCAGTTCAATATACATGTATATCTTAGTATATGTTGGCAAAAATTTTTCCTTTGCAAATTCAACTCAGCAACATAAAGAAGGGGTTTTACAGGCAGAAGAAAAATAAAGAAAGAGAACTGAATGTCACGTTTATTAACAGGTTTAACCATCTTCTGACCCAAGGTTCAGAAAATGGTTAAACCTGCTTAAAGGAACATGTATATCTAGAAACATTCTTTATCAAAACCACATGAAAGATCACAGTTAAAACTTGTTGAAATATTCATGTCAACTTTGATTTTTTATTGTTCTATTCAAACTTATGCATTTTAAAGATGATCAGCAATTTCCTGAAGAAAATTTATGAAAATTGCGTGTGTTTTTGTGAAGTTCATACACCTGAAAATAATGATAAGAGAATGCATTTATTTAAATTTGCAGGCAGTTGAAAAGTTCTTCTGATGACACTTGAAGATCAAATGGTAGGTTTAAGAAAGTTTTTTATTAATAATGTTTCTAATACAATTACTACTTTAATTTTCAAGTTATGACTCTTTCTTATTCAATCTTCCAATGTGTTCTTAAGACTGTTGAGAATATTTGAAAAATTTAAATAAATGCATTCACTGGTCATTATTTGCATGTGTATAAAGAAGCAAATTCAGCCATCTAACACCAGTTTGGGTAAAATATGTACCTTTGCATCAGAAGCCAAACTTTTTATGAAAGAAATGCAGGTATCACAATTTTAATTTTCCTATATACCATATTGTATTCTGCAGTCTACAGTTCAAATACTCTCCCCTCACTTGGAGCCAGCCACTTGGTATCCATTATACAACTTACAACATCTGGGATTTCTGAGCTTGTGCAACTCTTTATGTTGAAGGAAACTGTCTTTTAGAACTGGAGGAACTAATTTTTGAAAGGACTATACTTTGACCAGGAATAAGCTTTTTGTTGTAAATTAAGCCCTTCATCTATTATCCCGGGATAGACTTTGGCTTAGTGCAATTGGAGACCAGTTGAGCATGTAAAAAACAGCATGTATTAGAGACCAGTGACAAGATATTTTGCATGTGTTGGCCAGTTATATTGGAGAAATTGATTTCATGGCTGAATTCTTCTTTTTGCAGTTAAATGTGGAGGAAAGTTATCCTCAATTGGCATCTTAATTCATCAGTTATGAATTTCATATTGAAACTTTGTAGCTAACGCAAAATGAGCTGCTTGGCAGATTCTTGAGGTTGCCTCTTGGCCCAGTGGATACAAGTTGCCTTCATTGGATCATCATCATTAAGAAATTTTTATCAAACAGCCATTCGTTTAAATTTATAATTTCTGAAAATACAATGGCATCTCGTAGCAGCTTGTATCATGCTGCCGTGAGCAACAGGCAGATGGTCACAAACGAGTCCACTTCAAACAATGAGGATTGCAAGAGCCAAGGAGAGTTTTTTGAGCACATGTCCCCAGGCAACATGTCGTGCTACATGAGCAACACTGGATCTCTCAGCAGCAGTAGCGGGGGCAGGGCTAATCAACCCTTGGGCCAGCGCAGCTGTCTGGGAATAGACTCCTCTTCGCCCATTGTAAAGACCCAGAAATTCTCATTGGACATTTCACCGATGAACACGCTGTCTCCTGTGTCATCTCTGGCCTTTGATCTTAATTCAACCAACTTGTCTGAGCGGAAAAATATAAGCAATCTTGGGGAAAGTTTTGTGCTGCGGAGCACACCACAGTGTGGCTTGACCCCCACAAGGAGACGTTCTCTGTACAATAATGGCTCTTTTATAAACAACTCATCCAGCGATCCGTCCAGTGATCTGAACAGCATCTCAACCAAGTCCTTCCCTCCCAACTTCATCAGGAGGCAGTCCAACCTCAGCTGCAGTGAGTACCTTGCATAAATTTGTTGTCACAGAATATTACGTTTTGTGCATTATTGTTATATTGTTCTCTTTGTACCGTCCATTCTCTTTCATGAGGCATTTGTACGTCAAGTTCAAAGGATGAAGTTCATCAAACCTTACTAATTAAAGAGACTGTGAGACATAACCTTTTGCCCTAGACTAATCTTATGATTCAAATGCAGCACTAATATTTAACTGAAGTAAAGTTAATTAGGAAAGTTTTTTCTTCATACCTTGATGAACTGGAATGTATATATCAAAGTGTTTGTTCATAGTCTTGAACATGTAGGTATTTCTTATGGCAGGTTTATTTATGCTCTTGAATGGACTGAAACAATTACTCACTGATAGGCTGCTATTTTGATGCTCTGTATTTACTTAGTTTCAGCACTTGTATTCTGACATTAATTTCAACTCCCATTTCATCAACAATTTAATGTCCCATTTTGCCCATTAATATTGTCCCTGAACTAATTTTGTCTACAATTAAATGTAGACTTGATTATTGGAGGTGGTTTATCAATGTAATTTTGGCTTGCATTTAGTGTTGTTGTGTAGACTTCACTAATTCTAAACTAATTGTGTCCTAAGTTGCCACTGTATATATAAATGAAAGAGAATTTTTACCATATGTGCAGAAAAATTGATTTGAATTGCTTTGTAAAGCTTTATTTAATTGCCTTTGATATACCTATGTTATGATTACTGCTCTCCTTTAATTAACAATGTTGCACAGCAAGTTTGTATCTTTTTGTTATTTTTTATAGCTATTAATAGTCATTATTAAAAAACAAATTTATTTATTTAAGTTGCTGAAACTTAGAGCAATTGTAAAAGTATTTCTGAAATTGAAGAGTTTTGTAATAAATCTGTTATTTTTAGTGTTAGCACTAATGTTTAAGCATACTAGATGCATTTGCACAAATCATGTAATAGCATTTAGAATAGCATAGTAATTAGAACAGTTCCTGGGAGCCAGTGTGGTGAACAAATTAGTTGTGTTGGATGAGCTATAGTCCCTACTCCTGATCCTCCTGCAACACCTAATGTAGAGCTTATTAGGCATTTTTTCAAAAACTTAATGCTAGTGGTAAAGTTGATGGAAACTAATTTGATAATAAGTTGAACAAGCTTGATGAAAAAATGATGAAAAAATATCGTGTTTGATTTTCAATGTTAGCCTGCACTGATGCAATGCCTAGATTGTACGGACCAACTGTTGGTAGAAATTTGAAAAGTACTTTGTTAGATAAATGATTCTTCAATAATTCGTGCGCTTCCCAGACGTCAGATGAAAAAATGTGTTTAACGTAACTTCTCAAGGGAAATTTTTCCTATTGTCCTCAGGTATGTCTGAGAGCATCCAGGAGTCTGCAGCAGCCGTTCTTGGCGACGATTTTGAGCCGCTGTCGTCACCTTCACCTACATCACGTTCCCCATGCAAGACCTCAATTGTTAGGGACAAGGAGAACTGTTTACAAGGCACGCCTAAGGACAAGCTCATGACCACCGCTAGACGACGACGCAGGAGTCCTCTCAAGAGTATCGGTAACTTGGGGGGCGTGAGCAGGTCTTTGTGCTTCAGCAGCCCCCTTAAGAAGGCGCCCACCCCCGCCAAGAAGCAGAGGCAGCGCGCCAGTGAGCCGCTGCTCGAGACTTCGCCGCTAGACGAGCCAGACCCAAATAGCATGGACTCCGGTTACTCCGCCAGCGCCACCAAGAGCGATGAGGCCAGGTCTGTTGCTTCTGTATGTTACTAGTCGCCTTATAGAGATTATTTACGTTTAGAGCGTTTAGTGTAATGGATTAAACTTGAAAACTTGTTTTGATGCTTGCATTATTAAACGGTAAGAGAAGCGTAAAATTACTTAGTTAGAGAAGCGTAAAATTGAGCGTAGTCTCTTAGCTGAGCCTAGTCGCAACTATCACAACAATCTAATATTTATTGGGTGTTTATTTTAACAATGATGTTGTCAATATGTTGACGGGAACATTTTATTTTTTATTTTCTTTCTTACTTACAGATTGCGAGACACTGTTTCTGTGGCTCCTCGTAAGCTAAATTTGGACACACCGACTAAAAGCAAATCGATTCGGTTCCAGTCGCGAAATTCAGAAAATCAGCCCCCTAACTTTGCTATTAATAATGTGCTTTCCACTCAGAAGAAACTCAAGCCCCTCTTATCATCCGAATCGAATATCAAATTGTCAAATGTGTGCACCCTACACAATGTTTCTAGTGGTCAAACAGTGCCCAATAACTTTACTAATTCAAGTACTGAAAATAAAAACGACAAGATGTCTATGATGTCATCTCTGGAATCGAATAATTCTGAAGCTAATGTTCTGAGCTTCCAACGTCAATCGTCCAACGTCGCGCTGCTGCCTTACCTACCTTCCTTCTTCACCGAGACAAGTTCCTTGGTGCAGTTGTCCCAGGAGAGTGATGAAGACTTGTGCATGCACGAGCTCTATTCTTTGGAGGAAGCCAACGAAAGTGAAGTTTCTCTTCGCCAGTCAAGCTCCCCTCAGATGGAACTTGGTGCCCTCTTATCGGGACAAGTTAAAGACACGAGCCTTTTATCTTCCTGTTCCGGAACCTTCGAACTGAATAAGTCTTGTTCCATGTTGGACACGTTACAGACCAGCGCTACGATCGGTGTTGGGAACGATAGCCAAGCGAGCTCTGACGATGAGTCTGAGAAAATACGCGCCACGACCAAAAAGCTTTTCTGTGACGATGACAACGTTTGTCTGGAGTCGTCGTCTGAATCCACTCCCTTGTCTCGTCGCGACACTGAAATTCTCACACCTCGCGACTCAGTGGAATCCTCCCCTCCTGCCTCTACCGAAGCTGATGTCTCGATGGCTTGCACCCCGTCCCCGGGTGTGGTGAAAGAAACGAAATGCGTTCAGCGCATCCGAGACGTCTTGTGTACCGACATGGAAGTGTCTCCCTTTAACCGCAACGCTCGACCTCTCATCAGAAGAACGCTTTCCTTGTGTGACGTGACGCCGCCTGGGCTTGTTCTTCCTCGAGTGAGTATTTTTTTCCCGTAATTTATGAATGTACATACCATGATATTCTCATATGATGTATTGCTGAGTTACCCTTGTCCTTGCGCCCGAAGTTCTTATTCGAGCTCCCCTCGGAAGCGATGCGCTTGTAATATGGTTTTTCAGTGAAATGAACTCTAAATTGCATTATAAATGGTTTTCTGTAAAATATCCGAAATCGATGTTGCGTGTTGCTTAAACCCTACCATAATACATTTTCACTAGAATCGTCGTTAATGTACTAAAATATCACGACGGTTGATTTGATGCACATTTTATCCAGGAGTTATTTTACTATATTTCGAAGCTATTAATAGTACCGTCCGACGCAAGAGATTCTTACTGAAAAAATAATTTACATCTTTTATGTAGCTTCATAACTAGAGGAAAAATGGTCCCTAAAAATGCCACAGAAATTCAATTTAAATGAGCGTTAAATTGCTATCCGAAACGTAAGGTCAACTACATATACGTAAGATTATTATTATTATTTGTTTAATTTAGGGATTAAAATATTGAATGAAAATTTTGATCATATTGTATCATATAATAACCTGTTCCGCATTGTTTCTCCAACAGTCGGCGCTGAGCCCCAACCAGGCATTCAAACGCCCATTGCCGCCCTCCGAAGCGTCTCCTTTCGTGGAGACCAAGCGTCCCAAAACGTACGTCGGAACTCCACGCCTGACAGAGACTTTTACTCTGCCGTGCCTGAAGCCTCTACCCATGTCCGCCTTTAATGCCTCCCCCTCACAAGAGACCGCAACTCGCACTGATGGCTCCTCGTCGCCACCGTCCCTTGAGTGCCAGCAGTCGGACGCGTCTCCGGAGCTGCCCGTTAGCAGGACAGCCGCCCCGGAGAAAAGCCGCCTCATCCCGCGCTCTGAGTCGTCCTATAGTTTGGTGACTCGTCAGTCTTCTGTTCCTGTTACCTCATCCGACAGCATCGATGCAAGTATTGTTCGCGAGACTCCACTCTGCAAGACGCTCAGCGAGAGCCATTTATCTATTATGAAAGCCCTCAACAAGTGCCATAATCGCGAAGAAGAACTCACCGGAGATTTTTGTCGCAGCCTGTCATTACCCGTCATTTCTTGTGGTCGGAATCCCGATATAAAGTCAATTACCCCCGAAACTGTCGCTCAACTCATTCATGGTGAATACAGTCACTTGATTGAATCGTATCAAATTTTAGACTGTCGTTACCCATACGAGTTTGAAGGCGGCCATATTAAAGGTGCTGAAAGTTGGCACAACCCGCAGTTTGTGGTGGACTACATTGACAAGGCAGAACGAGTCATGCCGCCCACCCCCACAGATCCTAACAAGCGCCACATCCTTATCTTCCACTGCGAGTTCAGTGCAGAGCGCGGACCTAAGGCCCAGCGATTGCTACGTGAGCGCGACCGCACTGTTAATAAAGACCGCTACCCAGCTCTGCATTTTCCCGAAACGTATCTCTTGGAAGGCGGCTACAAGGCCTTCTTCGAGCTTTACCCCAGCCTTTGCGTGCCGCAAAAATATACAAAGATGCTCGATACCAACCATGCCGAGGACCTCAAGCTTTGCAGAGCTCGAAGCAAGAGCTGGGCTGTGGAAAATAAACACGGCAAGGGCAGATCCGGTCTTTGGTCCAAGCGCTTCAACCGAGATACATAATTTTCTGATGGAATCAGTGATCCTGTGATGAATTTTGTGCTCAATTTTATACTATGCTACCGAGTGAAAAATGAAAGAATTTCCCGCATTGTATGCCAATTTTCCCCACGATAAGTGAGAAAGAAGTGCTATTTTACTGGATATATTTTATATGAGGAATTATGTGACGTGTAGATGCATCTAGTTTTTAACTTGCAAAAGAAATTTCGGAGCGCTTTAAGGCTATTGAGGTAAATTCACGCCAAAATTCATGGAATTGGTTTGCATGTTGTCGGAGTGACTGACTGTAATCTACTATAGTCATGTGTCAAGAATTTAAATAAAATTCAAAAGTGTTGGTTAGGTTCAGCTCTCTCAGATGCACACTTCTTACTTGTGTCTTACGTATCACTTTAATCTAAATTATTTGTAAATAATTGCTGATTATTGAATTGCTGAATGCGATTCGGGCATGCATCTTCAGCGACATTATTTGAGCAGTATACTAGGTATAAATATTCTTCCTTTCCCTTTATCTCGAATTTACGTCGCATTGTATCTTCATAGTTTAGTTAACTTCACACATGTCCTGTCAATTCAATTCCACTTGATTATACGCTAAGCGATGTGATGAAAATAACCCACACTTGCAACAACTGTGATCTACTTTAAGTTTAAGCGCGACCTCGAATGGCTGTGGTCCAGAGGCGCTTTGTACAGTCTGCCTACAATAAAATTCCAACAGTCCTGACCTCTCGTTTCTTCTTATCCTCGAAATTATTTATGACCTTAAGTGCTTACAATAACAATAATGCCTTCATGAGTCAAATCTGCCTCCCACAATAACAATTGCGATAGTGATGCATACTTAGTTCTCTTGAGGGTTTCGTAGTAAAAATGATCCATGCATCGGCTACATTATTATTCATGAATGAATACCTATTCTTATTCAGTTATTACGTGAAACAGTACCACCAGAAAGTTTCGATCGTATTCGATGTTACCTCAATGTTGATAATATTTATTTGACAGCGATGAATCACGCGTACGTTAGATCCATTTTTGGTGTGAGAACGGTTATCATTATTTTCCGATGTTCCGTATTCACAAACGCCTATTCGTTGTTGCGGTTCAACATTGCTTCTCGTCCTGCTTTTCGTGGAACGTTTGAAAAAATGGATTGGTAACCGAACGCTCGAAAATTGTGAATTGTGACGGTTATATGTTCTTGCCGCCACCTACGATATTTATT